CCTTTCTAAGCCCATAGGAGAGGAGAGACATGTGCAATCTAATCCTGTGAGTACTGACACCAGATATACGTTAATAAGCTCTCTATGATTGTTATAGGCAGACCAAATTGGAACTTCTTTATTGACTCTAGTTCTATTACAAACAATTCCAAATAACATTGGATGCTCTGATAAACCCTGAACATGATAACAGTAAAATGCAATATTAAGTTTATCCACCTCACTGTGTCATTAGTAATTTCACAATCGTTGATTCGTCTCTGTAAATAGCTGATAAATGTTCAGGCAATAAATATTTAAAATCTCTCTTTCATTACTTTGACAAAATTCTCCTTTCAACCGATGTTATCAGAAAGGGAGCATGTTTTTGTTCCTCTGAATATCAAGCTTTTTTTTCTGTCACAGTTGATGTGCTTTTCAAGATTTTAGTTCAGAGTTCCACATAATCGCACAATCGCTGCTGTTTATCAAAAGAATTTCTTTCATAGAGCACCTCTAAAAAACACTCGTCAGGGGGTATAAGAACCAAACCCGCATTTGATTTTTGATGGCTTCAGCAATCGCTCATTGAGATCAATATTTCCACTTTAGAGAGAGAAAGACACGTGGTTTGTTTTCATGCTAGACCCAGTGGTTTATCACATATGTGAAGTTTTTTTTTTCTTTTCTATTCAACCCCCTTTTTGAAAGACTAAAATGGCAATGATTTGAAATTTCATAATTTATATGCAATGTCATGAGCATCGATCTGTTTTCTTCTATACTCGGTCTTGCAGGGCAACATCAAGTGCTTGACAAGGTAAGCATGTGAAATAAAGGCTTCACAGAGTGTGTTTCAAATTATCAGAGCAGCAGCACACAATCAATGCTGTTTAATTATAAATTAGCTCATTAATTGATCTCTTAAAAAGAAGCGTGCTGTCAGCTAAGAGATGTCAGTGCTCAGGACAACTTCAGGTCCCAAACTTTTCAAGTTTTACCAACTAAATAATCTTACACACATGCATTTGTTGACAAGCAATATCCCCGAATTCTGCAGAAGGAAGGAGTTGTCACATCTTGGGCAGACTCCAGTGTTGAGTGTGAAATGGCTTCATCACAGGTACATTGGCATATATTTCAGCATGTCTCATGAATATAGTTTCATGGACTTTATTTTTTTCAAACGTTAAAAGATCGCGTAGCTCACATTTACAAGCCAACGTCTTTATAGTAACGTTAGCCTATTGGCTACTTTTTTACATAATAGATATCCTAATTCAAGTTTGTTGGTAGATAATAGCCATGTCGTCAATATTATAATATCAAGCTACCGTAGATGAATCAGCAAATTTGAAAAATCAGTTTGCATTGAGACAAGACACTTTCATCAGAAAAATAAGTAACAAACATGACTATTAGCCTGCAGACATTGGATAGTTATCCTGACCGATTATTTTGTCCATCTAATCGTATTATTTACTTGCAAGAATGCAGCCCCTACCAAACTCAGTAATCAGTAGCCTATACTTTCACATCTCGAGCTGGCTCTAGGGGGATGCTTGAATGTCTTAAGTGCCCTCAAAAGAAAGCAATGCAGTCTACATTGGATGCAGCGAGGCGCATAGCATGCATGCTCTGTTTCTGATGCACTTCACATTTGGTTTTACTTGCTGCTAAAGCCATGACAACATACAGAGGTTAAAAAAAATGCTCGTTGGGCTGAGCTCGCGTTGGAATTAGAGGAAGGGGGGGAACTTTACTGCCGTAAAGCAGTCGAATATTGTATTTCTTTTTGTGCTCGGGTTCCTACCCGCTCCCCGAAGTTACAGAGTGCCAGTAAAAGCAATACAGACCACGTCAGGCTAATGGCAGACCTGTCATTCAACCTATTCTAAGTCAATGTACCATCTCAAGGGTTTTGGAAAAATATTATAAAGGTTGAAAAAACGACATAGTGCTGCTTTAAAATCAAAAGATGGATCCTACTGCATCAGTGTTGGAATTCGACTGCTGTTGAACCCACTACGGACCAGGCTGGACGAGATGTCTGTCGGCAGTTTTATGGTTCGCAGATGCAAAAGTACTGCTGTTGGGACAAAATGCAAGTGATGTGACAACAATTTAAGAGACTGTACAACAATGTCACATGGCTTAGACAAGCTGCTAAAGACTGTGACTTTGGATTTGACAGAGATAATCAGTTGTGTGATGCCGTTTTGAGCAAATGCAGTTACAAATGTCTGCAATGCATGTCAGTCAGACGGAGAGAGAAAGAGGAATTGTAGAAAAATGAATTCCAAAGCAAGGGGGAGAAAACAGCGAGACAGCTATAGATATGGACAAGTGGACTATTTCACCAAAGATCCAACCTGTCCTTCATGGGGTCAGGAGTGCAGAAAGAGCAAAGGCACTAATCATTTTGCTAAGATATTCAAAACCAAAAATGTGACTACACAAACGGCTAAATATGTCAGCAGAGGAATTGAGAGAAATTAAATTACAGTAATCAATATTACACATTCATGGTGAAAGACTGTAACTCATACAGATATTGATGGAGTCGATTTATGTAGATTGATTCTAGGATCACAAGCAACATCATTGACAAAGCTACATGCTAGGTACAAAAAAGCAACAAAAAAAAAAAAATGTGTGCCACTCATTCAAGTCTGATACGATGCTGTACGCGTATGCTTCTAAAGAGGCCCTGCCCATAAGAGGAGCTTTCACGTGTGAAATAGAATGTAAAATGGAGCACCCCGGCAGAATTAACAGTAATCAGCGGAAAAGGTAAGCCATTATTGGGTAAAGAGACAGCTACTTAACTCAGATAACAGCCCATTCTCACTCCCAAGGCGTCACTTAACTGACGCCTTGGTAAGCATTTGGACATGCTTCAATATCTGACGCTTTAGGCGCCCTTTAGCGTCAGTTAGATGACGCCCTAGGATCGCGTGTACCCTACCCCCACCCCACACCTAAACCTAACCGCGTCCTCTAACAGACGCTTTCCTTTAGCGTCAGTTTGATGACGCCGTAGGATCGCGTCATGTAAGTGACGCTAAAGGGCGCCTAAAACGTCAAATATTGAAGCATGGTCAAAGGTGACGCCTTGGGGTGAGAATGCGTTGCAGATAACGAAAGTCAGAGTCAACTAGATACAATCAGAAACATAAGCCGAATTTGGGAATAGTGTCCAGTTCTGGATCCAGTATCCTGCAACCAACATCAACATGAAGTTGCATCAGCACTTGCAGGTATTGAGGGAGTGGAGAATATCTCTGTCTACATTATTAAACATGCCCTAAACCAAGAGACACATGGTCAGAGGTTTTATGGTGGTTTGTAGAATGTGTAAGTAAGCTGTAAGCTGTAAGTAAGTAAGCTGTAAGAAGTAAGCTGAAGCTTGATAAAAATGGTCCTTTTAGAAGAAAATTTCAAATGGCATTTAGAGGCTTTTGCATCTGAACTCTTCGTATCTTGAAATGCATATTTGTTCAGGCAGAGGGGCTAGACTGGAAACAGGAGCTCCACAGATATGTGGCCATATTGACCACAACACTACTGGGGAGAGTTCTGCAAAATTGCCTTTCAATAAGAGAATCAGGGTAAACTGTCAGATTATACCATGCCACAAAATAACCAGAAGATAAGGGATCATGACATTGAACAAAAAGGTAGAACAAACCTTTGTGCTGATCATTGCTGCGGATCAAATTATTCACTGGAATAATCAAGAAAAAACTGGAAAGAAAATGACAAATGCATTCAACCAAGTTCCATAGACTGCTGTTTAGAAAAGGAAATTCTGTAACCATTAAAAATTCAAGTGGAAAAAAAATATTAAAGAACACAATATTTGTGAAAAAAAATCCTTCAGTAAGAAGACAAAATATATCAGACAAAAGACACAAAGACAAAAGACAAGCAAAATCAGGAACAGAGCAAACTGTTTCTGACAAAATGCCAACAAAGAGTTTGCCACTAGGTGGTGTGGTGGCTCCAAAAATGAGACCACAGACACAAATCAGATTGCATTTATAAACTTAGATTCTACAGGTTACTCCACATAAAAATGTGAAGAAATGTGAATGTGTACTAGATTGTTTGAAGTGTAGACACATAATAACATTACCTCTGTGCTCTGTATGCCTCTCTGTGGCAGCAGAAACTGTTTCTTCATCCCCATACATTGTCTTACTTGGCAAAATCACGGCCACAGCTCTTCTATGACTTGTTAAAATGACAGTGCACAATTAAACTGGAAATTGAGATCTTCATTCCCTAACTGTATCCAGTGTACATTTTAAACAAATTTTAGTTACGTCATATTTGAGATACAATTAAGGCACAAATCGCTCTGCAATATGCTAAGCCACATGTCCACCAGGTGTTGCCAGACATGTATTATTTAGACGCATTCCCCAAAAGGGTTGAACTTGCTAAGCTGATTAAATGCAATTTCAGTGTTGCAACTTTTTTTGTGACTGCCAGTGTAAAAATGCTGTGGAAATGTATCTACTGTAGGCTATGGCTACACGAGGCTTTAATCAGATCAGAATAATTGTCAAATTAGCAAGATTTTCAGTGTAATTTAATTCAGTAAATGGAGCATCATCCTCAAGAGTAGGCTAAAATAGCCTAAAGCACAATAGCACATGAAACTACAATTAAAAGTTTAAATTTACAATAGCCTAGGCCTTGGATAAGGCATATGGGCTACCTTGGTTCAATAAAACTTGGCCCATTTATTATGGTAGTTTAAAAGCTGTTTGACAGTTAAGGGTTATGTTTTTCGTCTAGTGCCAAATTCGGACACCCGGCCGCCGCCGCCAGGTTATTAGCCCTCTGTAATTCCTCAGGTAGGTTCAGGATGGTATGGAGTGGCCGGGGCTAGGGCAATCAGCGGTTTAAACAAGGGGGTAAAAATTTGTCAGGGTGTCGAAATTAGCACAAGAAGAACAGCGGGACTCCTCCTGGCTAATGACGTCACGCAGCTTCTCCACTGAACAGCGAAGCGCTTATTGAGATTGAGACGCGCGCTCACGACAACCTCACATAACGGTCCACACACTCAAGAGACTGGACTGTGTATCTGCAATAAAGTAAGTAGGCTGTAATTAATTTGGCCTTTATTCATATTCGGAGTTTCATAGATGAGTGTTGCATTGCTTTTTTCGTCAATATCTACCACGGAGTTACAACTTTCCTTGCTGAATTTACAGCGGCGGTTTCTGACTTTAAACTCAGTTTAAATCGAGTTTATGATTTTTGTTTTCGTCGTGTTATACACTAAATTGTATTAAAGTGGAGTGTGTCTACTGAATGTACTCGGCCGTTGAAATTTCACAATACGTCTCAACTTGTCTGAGGTAGCCTACACCCACCAACCGTCTTTTATCTTACATAAAGAATCTGAACTTACTGTTTGAGAATTTAAACTTGCATGTAGTTCTAACATTTTCTTGTGCGCCATATTTTTCGGCTGTAACTGCAAATTTGATTATCAGAACTCAAACCTTCATCCTCTCATGTCAAACTAGAAACTCTTAAATAATATATACGTTCTCTGCAGCATTAATGTTTAATTAATAACAGTCTGAACATGATTTTTCACCCAGTTCTCCTCAAAAGTTATCTGCATAAATGGGAACATATTAAACATGTACAACTTAAGACTGCTTCCTTATCAGTTTATAAATCTCTCTTGAAACTTACTTATTTTCTTAAGGTTTTAAATTTAACATTCATATTTTGTTTTTGTTTTAATTGGCTTTGTACACCACTTTGGTCAGGGACTGTTTTTATGTGTGCTTTATAAATAAAATAACTAGAACTAGATTGTTTATTAGATAGATTGTCATGCTTCAAAACTCTGCCGGCTTGTAAAAGTTCAGTTTGGGGGAAAAAAGCCAATGTTATAAATGATGTCTATGACAGCAACAATTAATTCAACAAGCACAGAGATTGTTAAATTGGTTTCTATGCCTACCATGTTGGCTTACTAAAATACAAAGTAAGTTTTGGGAAATGCAGCACATCCTTATTTCACAGGCATTTCCTCTGTTTTTCTGAAACACAAGGTGGAATAATCAAACATTCTTTTACAGAACAGATCATAAACTCTCACACACACACGTTTTCAGGAACATGCTAAAGAAAATAATCTCTAAATAAGCAGTTTACCATAGATATCAAATGTGCAGTCTATCTATATAATACGCAACTGCTCTCCATTTGCTGATACTTAATTTGCTGCTTATGTTATCTATTTACGAATGGTCTTACTATATAACATTGGCGTTTGAATATACAAAACTGTAACCCTCACTGAGTCAATTTGCTTTCACTAATGGTGAGGCTTTATGGGGACCTTAGTTTTAAACATTGCAACATATTGAGTCTAGCCACATATGATTGCTTTGTTGGAATGATAACCTGCTGGAGTGCAAAACAGTTAGTAGTTTCATAATATGTCAGACTGATGTGTGTGAGACATTCCCAGTAGCCTACAGCTGGGCATTTTCTTTAAAGGCGCTTCACAGTGTGTGCTTTCTTCCCCAAGGTGGTAGCCATGGAAACCACTGATGTGTATAGATGGAGAGCCTTTATAGTTCATGATCAGACTTAAGAGGATGCCGAGTTCCACTCAAACACTATCCTACTTTTGATTACTAAAAGCAAGCGTTGTTTGATCCTTACACTTGCAGGCTGCACACTTAAAGCAGCTCAGATGGAACTTCTATTTATTTATGAATAATTCAATTACTTTTCTCAATATTTGAAGCAATCATTTGACAACACAAGTCGTTGCACGAAATATGTATAGTAATAAACTAAAAAAGTAAAGAAATGTAGTTCCTTTGATTTCAGGAGAAGCAATTGACTGTGTGAACTTTCACAGAGACCAGGGCTTTTTATTCTCTGTTTGTTTTCAGGAGGATGTCACGAAAAAGGTAGACATGTCTGGACAAGAACAAATATTTCTGCCCATATTAGCCTTATCTTCAAGACATGTAGTGGCAAAGTGTGGCCTCTCGTAGGTTTAGGATAAAAAATGGAACAAGGAAATTAAACTGAAATTTCCCATATGTACACACACACAAGCCTGATAGACTAATATAAAAATCTCTACAATGACTAATTAAATAGATTGAAGATATAACAGTTAACAGCATTTTTCTAATTTAACGATGAACTGTCACAAAAGAACTGTCACACAATCAGTATAATAAAATCATTGTTCTTTAAAATATATTTGAAATATTATGATTTCGATTTTTTTTTAAGAATTGCACATGGTAACATTCTTATAAAATTCTTACAATTTATCCTCTCAATTTTCTTGAATTCATAGTTGATCTCTGGTGGTGGTGTTGTCCAACATCAAATTTGCTAAATAAAAATATTTTTTTTTAAATCTCATAATACCATTATATTGCTTTGTAACAGATATTATGGAAGGCCATTGATCTCTCAATCTGAAACTGAAACATGGGAAGAAAAACTTGAGACAAGAGGTGGAGTTCGACACTCACCATGGCTGCCCATCGCATCCGATCAGCGAACAACAACACTGTGCTCCCTCGCTGCAGATCTGAGGGCGCACTTATCGATCACAGTGAAGGAGTGTCAGAGGCCACCCTTACAGGTGTCAAACGTTTCTTTTCTTATTCTTAACTTGAAAGCAACGTATTGTTTACCTTTATGTTTAATCTCATCCACCATTTCTGTATCTGTTTTCCCAGCACCTTCTCCTAGCGCCTTACGACTGGACGTTACCTCCTTTGGAGCAGTCAAGGAAGTCATTGCCATTAAGGATTACTGTCCATCCAGCTTTACCACTCTTAAGTTCTCAAAGGGAGACTGTCTTTATGTTATAGACACATCGGGTGGAGAGTGGTGGTATGCACACAACAGTAAAGAAATGGGATACATCCCAGCAGCCTATGTCCACCCAATCAATTATCGAGACTCCTCGTTCAGTGATAGTGGCATGATTGACAGCCTAGGTGACATTTCTGAGGGAGTGAAAGAAATGGACATCTCAGGGGAGTGGCCGGACTCCTCCAAAACCACAGAATCTAGAAATGAAAATCCTTTCGTTAATAAACGGATGTCAACTAACCCTTTCCTAAATGGCACGGTGCAAGGCACCTCTGACCAAAACAGTAAACATAATTTAGCAAATGCTTTGTGTTTTGATAATCTCTCACTTCCCATCTCAAACACCAGCAGCACTGTTAACATTAATGGCTTTGAAAGTGGGCTCTTTGACACACATTTTAGTTCCGGTTCGGGGATCGGTCCAAATCTTCGGCGAAACAATAGGAGCAAGCGCTGCTACAGCATGTCAGAGCTGTCTGTCCTACAGTCCTTGTCTGATGGGAATCAAGGTTCCTTGAGTTTTTTTGGTGGCATGAAGTCACCTAAACCTGAACATTATCAAAGTAAAGAGGATTTCAAAACGGCATGGCTAAATCATCGTAAACTTACGCGATCCTGCCACGACCTGGACTCCATTGGACAAAACCCAGGTTGGGGGCAAACCCAGCCAATAGAGACCAACATTGTGTGCAATCTTGACAGTGCTGGCGGTGCCGTGCAGCTACCAGATTCCAGTATCAGCATACACATCCCTGAGGGCCATGTGGCACCTGGTGAGACTCAACAGATATCGCTGAGGGCCCTTCTGGACCCACCATTGGAGCTCAACAATGATAGATGTACTACTGTAAGTCCAGTGGTAGAAGTAAAACTCAGTAACATGGAAACCAAGACCCCAGTCACTTTAGAGATGAAAGTGTCTGTTGTTGTGAAGATGGAGAGCCGCAATACCACAGAGGTGGTGTGCGTAAGAAGCGACTTCAAAGAAGGTCCATATGTCTCGATTCCACATGCATACATGTATGCAGACACAGTTCAAGTGACTCTGGACAATTTAGAGCCTTGCATGTATGTCTCTGTGGTTGCCCAAGCACAAACTGTGGCCCCATACAACACGGTGTGGGAAAATGTCGTGAAAAAGGTCACTCTTGGGGTATATGGGCCAAAACACATCCACCCATCCTTCAAGACAGTGGTGGCCATTTTTGGCCACGACTGCGCCCCGAAGACGTTGCTAGTGAGCGACGTAAAAAAGCACTCACACTCTACTCCACCTGTTGTCCTCCAGCTCTGGGGAAAGCATCAGTTTGTACTAACAAAACCTCAAGACCTTCAAGTTGGCGTGTATTCGAACATGTCTAATTTTGAAGTCAAAGCCAATGAACAGGCAAGAACCGTGAGGGGATTCCAGATCAAACTCGGAAAAGTTGCCCGTCTCGTCTACATGATTGCGGCCCGGGATTCTACTGACATTTTAGACTTTACTTTGCGAATTCAGGTCAAGGATGATAAGGACTGTATCCTGGCCCAGTTTTGCGTTCAGACCCCAACCCCACCACCAAAAACAAGCACAAGCTCCGCTCAAAGGCGCTTCCTAAAGAAAAAGGAAGTCAACAAAATTGTACTGTCTCCTCTTGCAGCGACCACAAAGTACCCTGTGTTTCAGGACAGACTAGTCAAAAACATGAAATTTGCTAAGTTGCTTAAAACGGTTATAAGACAGTCTAAAAGCATGTATTTGCTGGAGTATCTTAAAGGAGATGTGATGGCTCTTTTGAGTGAGGAAAAAATTAAATTTAAAGGACATCTATGGACCAAAGAGTGGTACATCGGATATTACCATGGAAGAATTGGGTTGGTGCATGCAAAAAACATTCTAATCATGGGAAAAGTGAAACCTGTTCATTTCAAAGGGCCTGATCTTATGACTACAGTCCTTTTAGAGCAGATCCTGAAGCCCTGCATGTGCCTGACATACATCTACGCATCAGTGCGAACGATATTGATGGAGAACGTGGCGAGTTGGAGAGCTTTTGCTGATGCCTTGGGCTACATCAATCTGCCTCTGGCACATTTCTGTCGGACAGAGCCGGACAGTGAGCCTGAAAAGGTGGCGTGTGTTCTCGAGAAGCTTAAGGAAGACTGCAACGCAGCTGAGGGCAAGGAGAGGAAGTCTTTCCAGAAGGAACTCATGAAGGTAAGTGTTGATGTAGATCTTTCAGCTAAACTTGAGTGAGTACTGAGAGCACCTTGTATAAATAATTCAAAATAAATAAAACAAATAATAAATGACATTTTTCTTTAGTCATACACTAATTAATTTATTACTTATAAGATCAGCAACTGTAAAGAGAATCGGGGGAAGAGTGACGTTTTTGAAAGTTAACAAGTCAAACGTCTGAAAGTCAACTATGATGGCAATAGATCGAGCCTGAAATCAAAAAATGTCATTACTGAAAATTATAAAAACTTGATGAAGCTGCATGCAATCAACCTCGCAGATGTGATTGAAGGATTTATTCTACACTTTTCCGTTTTGCAAATGAATAGATTTGTATTAATTAAACTATGAATAATGTATAATTTCTGCAGTTCATACCAGAGCCAGTTATATGTAATAGCATTACTCAGAGCACTCTTCATATAACTGCCAATAAAGCTTGATGTGAAAGTCAACAGGAACATGAAGCAGGATGTTTCCTAGGGAAATATCAAGTTGCATTTTAGCTTGTATTACAAACACACTTTTAAATATAAAATGCTCTATAATGCATCAGTCAATCTGTAATTACCTAAAACAAACCTCTTTCTATGTCAGAGAGAGTTCATTGTAGACTCTCTAAATAAAAATCACATATTTCAATGTCAACTTAAAAAAGACATTGTGATTAAACCTCTATACAAGAGAAACTCGAAAAATTTAATTTTAAATTAAATTAAAAATTTAACTTAAATTACTGAATGATATTATATAGAATCATTACATGCAAAGTGAGATATTTCAAGCCTTTATTTGTTATAATTTTGAGCCTTAATTATGGTTTACGGCTATAATAATCTAACTATATTCTAATTTTGAATTTGGGTTTTCATAAGCTGTAAGCCATAATCATGAGTCTATTAGTTTCACCTTTTAAGTTGAATTACTGAAACTTTTGCACAATATTCTAATTTTTTCGAGTTTCACCCGTGTATCAATATAAAAATGCACATTTTTTTGCTCATATGTTTCATTTCATATGAGCTTCAATGATAATTCCAATGCTTGTTCTGACAAGTCTTTACAAAGCACAGAATGATGCCATTTTCATGTTCAATATTCAAGGTAAATGTGGTAAATATCTGAAGGTTGACTTCCTTAAAAGTGTAAACACTGTCGGAAATTATTTTTCCTTGTGTATGTATTTCCCTTTTACTATTTTTGGCTGTGATAATCTATGCAATTGTGTATGTGTGTGTGTGTGGTTCAATTACTCAAACCAGTTGAGTGAAAAGTCGGAAACACCAAATCACCTAACAATAATTAAGTAAAATAGGGTTTTTAAACTTTAGACGTATGTGCAACTGTAAAAGTACCACCCATATGAAAAAAAGCATACAGTCGAAATGCACAAGACTTTCTTCAGTATCTGATATCAACACATAGACAACATATAAAGGGCATGCACAGACACGCTTAAGTTTAGTTAATGCTGGGTCTCAAGTGAAAAAACCATGAGCTTAAACAAGTTCACGATCTGCTGAAAACACCACCTTTGTAGTGAGATTAAAATATTGAAATGTAATATATGATATTGTCACGTAGCACATCCCTTTGACAAAGTAAGTTTAAGAGCTTGATATCACTGAAGTGAAGCTGGCTAAATGACTTGTCAGACACATGGAAATGTTCTTCATGTACTAAAATTAGGAAGAGTTATCTGTGTTCATCTCAAACGTGACAACAGACCTGTGAGTGAAAATGCCGGAAGATGTGAACGTGTTGAAGAGTCTTAGTTGTGCAGATGTTTCCTTTCTAATTGTTAACATACACAGAAGCATCAAATATGGACCGAGAGGCGCCTTAAACTACACAATCCCTCCACACCTACAAATCTATTGCCAGGAGATTGCAAACAGATATGCAACTGTAATTGTCTGCACATTTTAATAAACTACTTGCACGTTCTCAATTGTGAAGAATTAGCATTTTTTTGATTTATGAATAAAATGAGGTCTGTGGTTAATATAACGAAAAGATAATTTACTGTTTTGTTTTACAAAATAAATTACAAATGTGAGTTTTGAAACCCAATAGAAATTCCCAAGGGAAGCCGTGGTGAATTAGTCTTTCGGGTTACCTTAAAAAATGGACATTCTGACTGAACAGCTTGATACAACTTTGCAGTTCCATTTTTAATCAGTAAAAGTTCCCGTTTTCCTGGCATATAATCTAGTCTGGGCTTTATTTAGGGTCAGATGCATTTACAGACATGCTTCAGAAGAACGAGTGAAAGTCTCTAAACTTTTTGAGTCTTTGATTCCCCCCGGTCTCCTCCCATTTCCCCTAGCCTATTGTTCGAGCAGAAGAGTGGTTCTGGATACATGGTCAGAGATTTCTGACAATAGTTTATAAACAGAAAAAGAGCAGCTTACAGGAAATCAAAAGAGACAGGCGAGAGGAAATATAATCATGTATGAGTAATATCATAAAATCAGATGTTGAAGAAGATGAATTTAAGAGAGAAATATACTGAAATCATTCAACTAATTGTGTGTCCAGCTGTCTTATTATTGCATTGTCTAGTGCACATGCAGTGTTAAATCACTAAGAATCTAAAGAATGAATGTAAAAAATCTCTGCACTGATCAAATATTTTGATTTACTCAGACAGGCTTTGTGCGTAATTATATATAATTAAATTCCTGTAGTTGGTCAACTTGTAGATCATGACGCTAACAATATCTGTCAATTGGATTATGAATGAACATTCTTGTCATTTCTGAAGAATTAACATCTGGTTCTGGATTCTGTGACGGTCCAATTGTGGTCAGATTGTGTTTGTCTTTCTGTTACTACTGTGTCTCTGTAGGGTTTACTTAATAAGTTCCTGACTGTGACAGGGGTCAGAGGGGATAGACGTCAGGAAACAGGTGCACATGAAAGGCCTTATCTTTTTTTTTTTTTTTTAGCTAATGCACACACAATCATTGTGTACAGAGGGTGATATTTCACACACAAAATATGATCTCACTTGCATCCAGACAGTGAGTGGCAAATTCACTGCTTGTGCTAGAGGAGCCGAAGATTGTACCGATCACAAAAATGTATCTTCCTTTTAGCACTGACTGAATGTACAAGTCAAAAACTTAACATCCTGTTTGTTTGTAGAACTAACATCTTTGATAAGATGGAAAGCATCCAAGACTCCTGCTATCTCATTGCTCGTGTTCAGTGCCGTGTTCCTCCCCCCTGAGCAGACTTCCTGTCATTCCAAACATTCCAAGCCATGGATCTGGAATCAGAGATTAGTGGGTTTAGGGTGTGTACTTTTAAACACTTGCTGCTGTTGTGAGACCATATTTGAGTACATGAAGAGCACCTGCACTTTTGACAAACAATGTTCAAATCCTGAATTGCATTCACTGATGGCACTAGTAGAAATACTGATGATTTTCTTTATTGTATAAAGTGCTAACAAAGTATAAATGTCACATGTCATCATCACCAGATAACAGTGCTGTAGATCATTCAATGTCATATATTCAAAAGGCACAGTGGAATATAAGTCCTTATTCAGTTTTTTTAAATGTCAGAACACACTCTAAGGGAGAAAAGAAAGTCACGTTAATAATACAGAACCCTTGCCAAAAGCCCGGCCGGATATTCCACCCTAACATTTCCCTTGTCCAAGGGGCCCGAAGTCATTCTCATTATATTGTGCTCACAGAAGCATGCACGTCGCTTCCTGCATATCGCCACATTTATCAAAGCACCCGGGATGATGACTTGAGCTCTTGGTTGGTCCAGATTTTGGGCGGTGCTTAGAAAACCTCAGTTTTGTTTTAGTATTGCTGTTTTGGTGAAAGTTACTTATTAGAACGGGCTTTGTTTAGCAAAAACTAAGGGAAAAAGAAAACACTTTTTTTTTTTAAATAGCAGATGACATGGTGTGAGATTTTAGAAAGCATAAACAATAAACAAACTATAAATTTCAGTTGTATTTGAACTGTTTTACTGTGTCAAATATTTGCATGTAGATTCAAGGTCATTTATGATTTTTGCCATGATATTTTAAGCATATATGGGGTAATGTATTGTAACTAGGCATGGACTGGTAATAAAATGATGGCCGATACTGACCTACCATTATTTTTTAGATGTTAAAGCTGATAATTAATTAATGGTCATTGTTAAAATTTGTAACTGAAAACAATGAAAACTAAAATAAACCGTTTTAAATGTTACAATAGTGTTTAGGCATATAATATTAAAATGTACGGTTTGAGAAAATGGATATTCCTTTGCTAAAGATTGCATCTAGATGGACAGGTCCATTTTTGTTATCATTTACCTTCATGTCATTCCAAACCAGTATGACTAAAAGAACATATTTTGAAAAATATCTCTCATTGTTTGTGCATGCAAGGAGTTCCTCATAATAACTTTTTTGTGATCCACAGAAGAAAAAACTCAGGTTTGGAACAACATGAGGGTTAATGAATGATGACAGTATATTAATTTTTGAGTGATCCTTTTAACACCTTTATGAAATTTATAATATGCAAGCATTAGAAAATTGCAAAATAATTGCACGATTCCATTTCCATTATATACCAATAGATTTGTGCTAAATTTGGTATGCATTTCTGTATATTTCTTTCAGGCTCTTCTGAAGATGGATTGTCAGGGCCTGGTGGCACGGCTGGTCATGGACTTTGTGCTGTTGACCACAGCGGTGGAGGTTGCAGGACGCTGGAGGGAGCTTGCTGAGAGACTGGCTAAAGTGTCCCGGCAGCAGATGGAAGCATATGAAGCTCCACACAGGGACAGCAGAGGACAACTGGACAGCGAGGTATAAACAAATTCTCTGTGTGATCAAAGCTCCAGGTGACAGGTTGCCAATTATCACGAAAAGAGCAAAACAAGCCCATTATAAAAGCTGTATAATAAGCAGACAGGGCAAAAATGTACCGGGGAAAACGCGCTGCTTCTCTGCCCTACGTTGTCAGTTATTTGTTAGTCAGTTATAAGTTAACAAAAATGTGTGGAGCCTATGTTCTGCTCGTGTGAGGCGCGCCGCTTCCCGCTCACGCTGTTCTGTAGTTTTCTGAATGTGTGCGTCTCATCTGTCTATCTGTATTGCACCATATAGAGATTTCGAAGCTTCGAATATTCGATGTTCATTACTACTTAAGCTTCAAAGCTCAAAAAATGGTATTCGGACCAGCCCTATGTGAAATATATCGTTACCGTGAAATAAAATTAGTCATACTGTGAAACACAATTTTGGTCATACCGTCCACCCCTATATTTTACATATTGTAAAAAGGGGCATTATACCAGGGGCATTATAGTCACATTAAACTGACTTATACATTAAGTCAGTTTAATGTAATTTAAGTTGAATTGACTTAAAGATCCAAGCTGATTGTACTGAAAAAATTTAAGGCAGCAACTTTTTTGTGTGTGTGTATAGAATGTTGAATCTTCTAAATTGTAACAAATGGATAAGGAACAATATCCTAGTGAGATTGGTGCGAGAGACAATAGCTGACTGAAAAGTTTAAAAATCAAGCTGGCAGGTCACGTTAGTCAAGCTTGCATCTGCTGACTCTAAGCTGATCCACATCTACCATTAGGAATACGACGGCCAGAACATCATTCTTATATAAGCTCATGAGCAGTATTGTCAACAGATATCGCACTTCTCAGGAGCTAATTACCCTCCTCCATTCCAGCTCCTCCTCTATACCAGTCAGGATTGGCATTCTGATTGCCTTTGAATCGGACTAAATTCTCAAATTATGTTGTACATTAAGGGTACGTTTACACAACAACGATGTGCTTAAAACGGAGAAGTTTTTCTTTTTAGTTTTCCGCGTACAGACGATACCATTGTAAAAATGACCCCCATTCACACAGATTCCCATCCCATTCACTAACAGCCAAAGTGCATAAAAAGCTTTTGTGTTTAGCTGAAAATGGTGTTGTGTAAAAAAATCTTAATTAATGATTATCTGCAATACATTCATGTTGGTTCTGTCCTGTTTACCCTAAGGGGGGATTATCCATGTTAGGCTGCATGGATGCACAGGGAGTTCTTGCCCAGCACAGAACCATACCACCAATCCAAACCGTATGCTAATTGTCAATCGTATTTGACGATAATGGTCCAGAAAGAACTGGGTTTGAGCAGCGATTATTAAAGTGTTTGCATCTAGCTCAGAAAAGGAACCAAAATGTTCTACCAACATTTGATGAGACTATGAGCTTCCTCTTATGCTTTGTTTCACTGGCTTGGGGAATTTGCACACATTGAATCCAATGGAGAGTATAGTGGCATAGACACCTGAATATCATGTCCATGCAGGTTTACATGTCAAACTCAAATGAATATTTAAATTGTTTTCCTCTCACTGAAGGCTATGTGGAAACCTGCCTATGACTTCCTGGTCACATGGGCAGCCCAGATTGGGGACAGTTACAGGGATGTAATTCAGGAACTTCACACTGGATTGGACAAAATGAAGAACCCCATCACCAAGCGCTGGAGACAGATTACTGGCTCCCTCATCCTTGTCAACTGTCTGGATCTCCTACGGAGCTCCGCCTTTAGACCCTCCCCTCAAGATGAGTGTGCTATATAAAGACTGCCTAAACTAATTGACTTTTACAGGACCCAGATAGACCTGATTTCAATTTAGACTCCAATTTAGGCCCCTATTATGCTCATCTACAGGTTCATAATTTTGTTTAGGGGGTCTAGAATAAAATTACATGATTAAATGTTCAAAAAAACATTTTTTTCTTTTAATTTAGATAGTTACGACACCTCTGTCTGAATGCTCTGTTTTAGTTTAGTTGGGTTTTTTTTTTTTTTATTATTTTTTTAAACCTGCCTTCTGGAAAGCCCAGTCTGCAGTGATTGGTCTACCGCTTGGTGCTGTGAACAGGCACTGTAAAAACTACTGGAACAACACTATGGCGTCAGTTTTGCTTTATCAGTTCAAGCCTGTGTCTGATAATGACCGTCATGAAGAACAATCTGATCGACCCGAACCACCATTGCAAGCATAATTTGTGCAGGTCGTTTCACAGTGCTAATTGTTTTAACCTCTCTTCCATTTCAAATATGATACAACTTTCTCTATTAAGACATTAAACTGCATAGTCCAGGAAGGAGTCGTTAAAAAAAAATGGTGAGAACACAATAAAAGTTTGTGGTTATACTGCTGAGAAATACCAAATTTGTACTTCTGGTGTCTTAATACAAAACAAAGGCCTCTATCTCATGGATATGTAAAACTTCAAATGATTGTTCAAATTCATGATTTTATACTTGTAGATTTTTTTACAAAAGACATGCTTTTACATATTTGTATTTCTTTCACTAATACTGTAAAATAGGGCTGTGCAATTAATTGTAATTGATTTTCAATTTTTGCTTCCAGCGATTACGAAAACAACATAATCGAGGTAAAACAAGTACTGTGCCGCTACCACATTTTCAGTCCAGGCCACCTTCCTTTCTTTCACAACTAGTACACTTTCGTTCCTCCATAATTAACCCAAACTTAACAGTCAAAACAGCCATATATGCAAGTATTGTAAACTGCTGTCTACCATTGCTAAACTGCGGGAAGTATTTGATAATAAACAGTAAAGCACATTATGCTGCTGTTCCCGAGGTGGCTTTCTGTGTGCACAAACGAAGATAAGAAAATAGGCTTCAGATACGCACCTAAACGCGTAGCTACACACACACAAAAAAAAGTAAAAATGCTTATTTGGAGAGTATTTGCGTATGTCTTAAATATACCGAGTTGAGGAAGAAAATGTGTGTGTAACAGTATATTGGAATTGTGCATTAGCTTTTAAAGTGACTGCAGCCTAATAAACATGCCGCAGTCTGTCATTAATGATAATCAATCAACAAAGGCAAATCCCTTGGTGATCTTGACTGAATAACTTAAGTTGCTTTAATGGGGATTAATCTATATTTAATGTGTACAGTAAGATTATGCAGTGTCATATCTTATGCAGTGATATTTTACATTCCATAATTATTATTTTTTGTAGACTATTACGTATTCGAACATCTTTCTGAAAATGTAAAACACTTTAAAGAGTATTTCCGTTCTGTTGTATTTATTTGTCCGTTTTTTGTTCTTATTGACTCTTTACTTGTCTTCTGTGATTGTTTTGAAGCCTTTTTCTTACATTAGATAAGTTAGTATTATTTTTTTCCTGAAGTATCAATAATTGTGAAATTTCACTGATAAAGTTACTTGATGCTGGGTTGTTTTAACCCAAATCATGGGCAAACCCAAATGTTGGGTTAAAAATGTAATTTCAAATTGTAACCCAACTTCAACTTTCACTTTCAACTGTAGCCTATATTTTTTAATTGAATTTTTAACACTAACATTTGGGTTTGTCCATATTTGACCCAAATTTGGGTTGAAACAACCCAGCATTTAGAGTGTAGTGAGATAACACTTTGATATCACCCACCAATAATCACGTTAAATAATCTTCAGTATTAACCAACAATAATAGTGATTGTGATTTTTGCCATAGACTAATCGAGCAGCCCTCTGTAACAATTTTTCTCTTTTGTTTTGTTGATTTATAATCCTTACGACATTGTAAGCCTATACTAAACTGCCTGTTTCACTTTGCTCTGTCTATTGTTTATGCGGCCTACTTTAATTTTATGTAAAGTTATAAATATAAACTTAAACACATATCAGCACATGTAAAAAAAAAAAAAAAAACACTTCTGATCATCAACTGACAAATAAACATGTTTACTTGCCATTAGTGCACTGAAGGTGATGAGAATGTTTCATTTGACCATTTTAGTGCTATTATATTTTTTTTCAGCGTGTTTCCCTTTGTTTATTATTCCTCTGATAAACGAAGCTAGAAGAGTTTTTCAAACATCAAGTATTATGTGCAAATTCCAGTCTTATCACTCCAGCATTATTTTTCTCTCTGCTTGACAGGCTCTCCCAAGAGAAATTTTGACAAATGTAAACAATCATCACTATGGGTCTAACAAAAATGTGCGCACTTCTGCCCATATAGTAGACACAGGCATGCAGACAGCATAGTTCACATCACAAGCCTTTCATCTGGGCCCTCTCTCACTCTCTGGGGGGAACCATGCTTCTGACAAAAATCTGAAATGTGTGTGTATGTCTGTGTGTAGGGTATCAGGGGCCCCGGTGCAGGTTGTTGCTGTGGTCTCTCTTCAATAAAATCGCCTTCTGAAGCAGGGGGGCTCCGTTCAGGATCTACCTCTATAATGCAGTCCCCTATAATTACCACCTTTCGCCCTGCAAGCAACAGCCCTGTGTGTGTAAGGCACATAGAATCAACTGTGAAGATTTTAACAGTTGTACCTGTCAACAGTCAAGTCTGTTTATGAATGTGTCTGTGCCTGTGATATGCTAATAAACAGTGTTCCTCCTTGGGTCAGTGAGCACTGGAGTTTTTTTTTTTTTTATCAATTTTTTCTTCAATGGAGAAACTGCTTCATTTTTCTTTCTCTTTATTTTAATGCTAAAAAAGAATGGTGTTTTAAAATAGTCCATGATTTAATGTTACATTCTGAGTCTTACTGCCTAAAATGGCAATTGAGTAATTAAAATAAGGCCAATTCTCATTCCATGTAATTTCTCCAACATTTCCATCCCAGGCCTATACCATCTAGTGGAAAAACAGTTGTAAGCGTTTACTGTAAAGACACAGATTGTTGCCCAAACCGTGCCCGAGTTGTGTTCGATGAGCAATAATTGTATGATATCCTAATTAAACCTGAAATTAATGATTATCATGTGTAAAATAAACTTTTTTAATTGTTCTGTTGTTGATGCTGGTTCCTTTGGGTTATTATCTTTATTCGTTTTTATCTATATTCTAATTTAGGCTAAATTCAGACCAATTTGTTGATAAATATTTTTTGCCCATGGATTTGTCAACATCACCTGTCTGAATTAGACTTTTCTTAATTTTATGAGGACTGGTTTTAGACAATTTTGATTTGATAGCATGCCACAACACTCATCCATGAAAATTGTCAAATTGCTTATATACGTTTTTGATCTCAGACCCAAGTGTTACCAAATGCAATTAAGTTTAACAACCAGTCTCGGACCGGTGTACACATAGAGATACACTCTTTTTTTTATTATTGACCGTGTTTTTTCCGGGATCAATTTGAAAGGCTGGGTATGATAAACATCACGTACCTACTATGAACGGCAGGTGGCGCTACATACCAACAATATCCGCAATGTTACTGAACTAAAACCGCGAGAAAACACTCGTTCAAGATTTTGGCCAAACGAATAACAATTTTAATCACTTTGAAGAGGTAGCCTAGTAGGTTATACTATAATTATTCAAATTTGCTGTGGCAATGGACCGTAGGTCTATCTTATTTAAATGATGATGAATGTTGAAATGTTTAAAATGTGATTTTGTCCGTGTTTCTGAATCTGAACAAATCGGTAGCATACAACATTGAGCACCCTTGTTTCTTTACGAATGCCACACATCTTCCATGAAACTATGGCCTAACCTGTGTCCTGCACAGACTGCTGAGGAAAGTTGTGTGGAAAACCATTTAAACGTTTAATCCTTAGAACCAACCTGAACTATTTTTAGGTACTATAACTTATTTACTTAAATTGTAGCCTATTAGTACTGGCCATTAGGCTACACTCTTAAAAATTAAGGTTCTTTGGCATCGATGGTTATGAAGAAATGGAACATTGTTTTTCATAAACTTTTTACCAAGGTTCTTTGGGTAACCAATTGTTCTTCTATGGCATCATGTGAAAAAAACAAAAAAATTTCAGAGTGTAAGGCCTATCGAAATCACTAACTACGTTTAGAAGATGTTTTTAGATGTAATGATTTAGAATGCATGTTAAACTGACATCTTATAAAACGTCTATTTGACATCTGACAGGAAACGTCCTGTAGACGTCTTGCAGATTAGCAAACACTCATCTTAAAAATACGTCTTCCAGATATGTCAATAGCACGCCATGCTATCTGAGGCATATTATTCATTCGATATATACGTAATTACTGAGCGACTATTGAAAAATAATACAGGCTTTATGTGCATTGTTTTTAATTAGCTGACTAGCCTATTCCATTTAAGCACAATATGTTTTACATGTCAAAATACAGATAGGTAACATCACACATTTTAAAATAATAGCTAAATAAAAATAAAGCAAAAATTAGGCTTTCTTTATGTAGATTTAATTTGTCCATATAATGTGTTGTAAACAAAGAAGTAGTGCAGGCTACTGATTAAATAGCCTAGGTCATATCTAAAAGTCTAATTTAATAGTGAAAAATATAGGCTAGTCATTCGTGGACTACCAAGTCAAGTGTGTAAACAAGAATTGCCTGTAACAAAAACGTATAGCCTACTAGTTCGTTTTAAAGGAATAAATGGCTTGCCATAAAGGGGGTTTGTTTTTCAGTGTCCACATGAAATGCGGGCGGAGTTTCTCTCCAGTGCGAGGAGCTGCTGCTGCAGGGCCACTGCTGGCTTTCATTCATTATCAAACATTCGCTTGTGTCCATCACCTCGTGAGTAGACTCGTTCGTGTTATGTCTAAAACACATTTCTGATCACATTCATTCATCGCTAATGTGGACGACCACCGGGAGAGACTGAACACCGAGACGTCTGGTGGAATTTGAAACTGTTTGTGGTGGGAATGTTGATGTGAGCTGTTACTGCGGAGACTCTCCGCTCACGGAGGAGTGTTTACCGAGCACGAGATGACCACTCCATCACATCCAGTCTGAATTTGGTTGAATCGCTGGTGCCGAGGGGGTTTGCTTTGGAATTACCCCATACTAACGAGGCGATAAAAATGGGTAACAGTTTCTCCAATATATCCGCGTTTCAGTCCCTCCATATAGTGATGCTTGGCTTGGATTCCGCAGGGAAAACCACGGTCCTTTACAGACTGAAATTCAACGAATTTGTCAACACTGTACCCACAATAGGATTTAACACAGAAAAGATCAAGCTTAGTAATGGCACGGCCAAAGGAATAAGCTGTCATTTTTGGGATGTTGGTGGGCAGGAGAAACTCCGGCCCTTGTGGAAATCTTACAGTAGGTGCACCGATGGCATTATTTATGTGGTGGACTCGGTAGACGTGGATCGACTGGAGGAGGCCAAGACAGAGCTCCATAAAGTGACCAAATTTGCTGAAAACCAAGGAACACCACTTTTAGTCATAGCTAATAAACAGGATCTGCCGAAATCTTTGTCTGTGGCTGACATAGAGAAGCAGCTTGCGCTCCAGGAGCTCACGCCTGCCACTACATACCATATCCAACCGGCCTGTGCCATCATTGGTGAGGGGCTTCACGAGGGCATGGACAAACTGTATGAAATGATAGTCAAACGACGAAAAAGCCTCAAACAGAAGAAGAAGCGATAACTCTCTTAGCCTGAACCTGCCTTTTTTCCATTGCTGATGGCCTGAGTCATTGGGTTTGCCATTACAACATTGCACTGTTGACATTCATCTGAATGGCTGGTTGTTCTCCAGCTGGATTTATGTTGCATGTGTTTGTGATGGCGCAGGTGAACCAAAAAAACAAAACAAAAAGGAAATGATTTGTTTTATATAAAAGGGCTGGTCCTGATTAAGCTGCCATTTATTTGCATAGCCTGGTCATCAGTTTGAAGGAGTTCTCTGAAGCACTGTGAAAACTGCTGTAACATTTCATGGAATGCTTGATAATATTATTTTGACTCTTATGGAAGAGTGAACTTCTAAGAACATTATTGAGAACTGTAGCTTCAAAATCCCAGAAGGAGATTGGTGTTTGAAGACCTTGTAATTCACAAAATAGCAAAAACTTCTCAGAGCCTGTTAGTGAGTATGAGACCTCAAGAAGATACAGGAACTGTGAAGAACTCAAGTGATGGACAGGGCATTGCCTGCAACACGGTCCACCTCTAAGCACTTTTTTTCTTACCAAGATAGTAGTGTACAACACTGTAGATAAGATATTAGACTGTCAGTGTGTTACAGAGTAAAAAATGAAACCTGAAGTATTTTTCAATTAAAATGTGTTAAAGCAAACATCTCTCATGTCGATCTGAGGGTAAATGGTGAGGTCAGCTCAGCTGTATGAATCGCACCTCAGATTTTATGGTTTTCAAAAAAAAAATTGTGATTAGAATGTCTTTTGTACCAATTTGTTAATAATAGATATAGATTAATTGGAAATTTTCACAAGTATGAAACAAATCATTTGGGCCTTTTTCAGTGGAGGTAGAAAAAGCTAGCCTTATAGCTTAGCCTATTACTTAAATTTATTTATGGAAGGCCAAGTTTGAAATCACAATTGCACTCTCAAGACTGTTATCCTTCGATATTATCTACATTTTTTTTTTTTTTTTTACAATTTTCTACAAAACACACACATTAAAACTGCCTGGTCACATACAGCCACAGTTACACCGAACTTCCACAGTCTTACCTATAAGATAACATTTTAAATAGTCTACTATTTAATAGTAGACTATTATATACTACTAATTATACAATAATGTGTGTTAGCTTTTTGGGCATGGTATTCACTCATCAAATGTCCCTTAAATTCACACTAAATAAACATACAAGTAGGCTATAATAAAGCATTTTTGTAGTTAAAGATTGAAAAAAAGTAAGGTTTAGTTAATGGTTAGAGTAATTTGTCTTGATTTGATAGTCGAGATGATAAGAGACACATGAAACTTTGATGAAGATCAGGTTTCACATGAGGCTTTTGTGGAGACAGAAGGCAATTCCCTGTGCTCCTCCAAATGGACAGCAGAAGATGATGCCATAATGAGGTCATGAAGGCGATTTTTACATTTTGTCGCGTCTTATGAGGACTAGTTCTTAATATTTAACTTTATCACGTTAAGTTCAGTACCATGTTATAGAGCAATAGTTGTTTTACTAGCCCAGCAGTATTTAACAGAATGCATGATGTGAACGTGAGGAATATTGACTTGAAAATTTACAATTTTGAATTTATATATTTTTTTTTTACATTCAAGTCAATTCAACACTCCTTCCTAAAGATGGACAGGTAAGCACAGGTCAAATGGACACTCCAGAAATCTCTCACAATCTTCTGTCAGTAACTGTTTCACCCGAGATGTCTCACATGATTACCCTGTTGAGGAATTTCCAACACTATCTCACGACCAATTCGTACGAATTCGACGCATGATTAAAAAGTGGCTAATTCGTACTAATTCGTACGAGCTCACTCATACTAATTCGTACGATTTGTCTAAACCCACGTGATGGTTAAGTTTAGGGGCGGGGTAAGGGGTAGGTCATTCGTATGAATTCATACGAATCGGCCAATTCGTAAAATATGTACGATTTAGCAAAATCGTATTAATTCGTACGAGTGAGGTCGTATGAATTGTTA